ATGTCATTAAAAAACTCATATCAGCATTTGGGCCTGCAAATTTTTTCGCTCGTTCGTGAATGCTCTGACACATGTTCTTTCCTTTTGTTTTGTACAGCGATTCTCAAAGTGGGGGCAAAAGAGATAGGAAACAGGGCGGCAGGGGCCAATTGCGCATTCTCGGTAAGGAAAATTTAGGACGTGAACATCGAAATTATGTCGGTAAACTATATCACCTCGAAATTTTCAATCGGAAACTATTGCATAGTCCAGCGGTTCCCAAACATTTTGTTTGTGCGGCGCCAGATTACCGCATTAGTTTAGAGTTGTAATGCTTTTACTTTATCGTAATAAATTGTACTCAGACTTTGGGATTTAGTGAACGGTGATATTTTAAAATTATTCAGATTTTTTAAGAATATTCAGATTAAAATTTAGATCGTAGTATTTCAGAATAGTAAAATTTTCATTTATTGTACCTCGGCGCAACGGCGATTACCGTTGAAAATAATTGAATTAATATGGCGAGACAATTTTAATGCTCTTATCGGTCACGGACTGAATATTTTACGCAACAGAAAAATCATCATCGGTGACAAAGTCGGCCATTTTAACGAATGGCGTAAGCGCGACGACTAGTTTGTAAATATACTGGAAATATAGTATCCGCAAATCATCTGGCATTTTTGACGAAGTAAAACTGTTGATTCTTTCATTGCTAACATCATATTTGGTAGAAAAGTGTCAAATCAAATAATGATTTGAGCTTGTACCTGACTAAAATTCCCCCATCTTATTAACAACATCATGTCAGTGTAGTTTTTTTTTTTGTGGGGGGGGGGGGGGGGGGGAGGGGCGGTGATGATAACGTTAAAAGTACAGTATGTGGGCGACGGTACAAAAAAGTTCGAGAACTACTGGTATAGTACATGATTAACCGTACTTAAATCATTCTGTCTGTACTCATGACATTTTCAATGTTTTTTCAGCGCTAATATTTCAATGTTATTTACTATATACCCAGCTGCAAATATCTGATGCTTTACATCACTTAGACGCGATCAATGAAACGGGAATGCAATTAACTGACTTGCGAATTTGCAAATAAACCGTTTTTGATCATATTGAGTTTTGATCACCCGGCCCAGTAATCCGTCTATTATCCACATCCGGCCCACTCAGGAAAGTAATTGCGCACCCCTGCACTAGTGGTACGCGTATCACAGTTTGGGAATCACTGCTTTAACTGGATGCTTCTCATGCAAAACACGGAGTGGAGAATTGTTTAACCGTGCGTTGAGTATTTACTTGCGAAAAATGTTTTGATTGATGAAGTCAAGTTGTTCGACCAACACCTAAACCTATGCAAGTTCCTAGAAAAGCAAATTCAATCCAATTCAGTTTCCTTCTGTAAACTCATGGCACATGAATGATGAACAGAACATTTTAAAACTGCAACACCCGCGACTTTCACAACGAACTGATTAAGAACGCAAAATATTATTTCAGCATTATTGCACATTACGCCAACATTGAGCGCATTTTCTTTTTAATGCAGCCACAATGGTCAAAAGAACGCGAAAACTTCTTATTTGGGTCTGTTGCTAGTATAATCACTTTAGTTTACAATTTTAACGACATTTCTTGCAGCCAGTTTTACGATATATATTGCTAAAAATAATCCAGGGACGGTCGCTGCGCTACCCGCGAGGGGAAATGTAAGGAAGAGATTTGAGTATAAGCAAGCGGATGTTTCATTATGAGTTTGATGTAAGCACCAGGGTCGTTGCGCCGGACGAATGGCGGAAATTCGTCCGGCGCGTGGCCCCCAGCCACTTTAGTTCATTAAGTAGTTTAAATAACAAATCATAAACTGATAATTCTTGATGGATGTCGATTTCTAGCAATTTTAGGGTCCGTGTTCACTCGACCGTGACGAAAATTTTTTGTCGTAATGTTTACTTCAATTACCTTGTATAGGCCGAACATGGAACGCGTTTTCAGTGTATGACTCGAATTTTTAATTTTCTAGACTTATTAATAATGATAGCTTGAAATGCTTAAACGCTGTCAAACTGGCTTGTCAGACATTTCAAATTATTTTTAATATCGGAATTACCTTAATAAAAGTCACAATGGAAATAACCTGTAACTATTACTCACTCACGACTTTAATACGCCACTAGCACAAAACGAAAAGACCAGTCCACTGTCACGAATTACACAGCAATAACGAAAACTGTTTTTGTACATAAAACCACTTCTATTTTATATATAAGTAATGCGAATACAAATTTGTATAAGTTTTATTGTGCTGGCATACGTAGATTTGTCACAAATCACACGGAGAAAATAAAATTTTTAAATTAGAAATAAAGCATATAGTACATTTTCTAAGAGCTAGAAGTAGATTGTTCATTGGTTCGTGCTCTTTTAGGAGGCATATCATGGCCCTCCGACAACACAAGGTCTCCGCTTCCCCACCGTGGCAATTTGGCACCAAGTATTTTGAGCTCGCTTATGTGCAATTTGAAACTGCTTGTCAGAGTGTCCGATCCACTTTTTCCCGGCCTGAACCAACCTAATACACGGAATCTTTTGTGTAGTCGCAATGCATTCTTCAAAAAACGCAACATTTCAATATAATTTAATCTACTTGGTGTCACCTTCATGAATGAATTATCGAAAACGGCAAGAGCGATCGTTCTGCTACTGTAGGGCTCCCATTCCACGTCAAGTCCCGGAATGTCAATCCCAATTCTTACAACACTCATTTTCATGTCCACGGTATGCCTGGACATTCAATTCCGTAACGTCCGTCACAATACCTGTGATCGCAGCTTTCCACAAAATTGGCGTGTACCACTCTTATGTGGTCCACTTCAAAACAGAATGATTGCATTGTGGTCGTTTCCAGTAACCCTTCTGGCAGTTTCATAATATTTGGGACCCGAGGAGCTGTTGCAGGTAGGATAGGATGTATTGTCTTAATGACGGGCAGACCTCGCCATTCGCTCCGACATGTTGGATCAATCACAGTAACATGTTGTCCCATTTGGAGCCTGTTTTCCAATCGCAGAACAATAGCCTCCATCTTAGCTTCTACCATTAAGACTGACATTCTTGTGCCAAATCTGATGTACATCATTCGGTAGTAATTTACCGTTATGTTACCATGATTCGATCTTTTGCCAAGATTCTTCGTTTGAACATTGGTTGTCATTGCAGCTCTATTTGGTTTCTTTGTATGAAGAAGTTCTCCTATCATTTTGAAACCTTCTTCCATAACCCCTTGGCAATTTTCAATCTCCTCAATCACTTTTTCTTCATAATTGTTTTCAACTATACGCTGCAAGTGCTCAAAGTCATTAACGTCCAACTCTCTAATTAGTACAGACATAGTTAGCTAAGTTGTTTAGGTATCCTACGAAAATCTATTAAAATAATTGTATAATTTAAAAAACGACTTTGAAAACAGAGATGAGCACGGCAAAATTGAGTGCAATCAGCAATGATACTCATATCATACAATAAACCTAATCAATTTATAAGTAAACATACACACTATTTCCTTTGTGCCACAACATGTTAATTCTGAATTTTCAATAAAATCTTACGTTTTCTCTTAAATGAAACCAGTCATTATAATAATATTAAACTATTTCAGTTTGAACGCGACATGTAGTGCTTTAGTTTTTTTTATAGGTGTAACATGCACATTTTTATTATTATTTTAATATGTGCGACACCTACAAAGCTTCAGTTCATTTTTAATGCATTTCTTTCATGTCGTACATTACTAACATCATTCGGTTTTATTTCTTAAAAGCGGGTTGACAACATTTCATAGCTGAATTATTTCATTTCTTCATTCAAATTTATGCATACCTAGAATATACAAACAAACTTCACTACGCGTTTTAATACGATGTCCTCCTGGAGACATTACATCGATGAATTAAAAATAACATATTATCCACCCCAAAATAAAGAGATTTCAATTTACAAAATCATTAACAGCACCATAATTTGTTAAGATATCTTTAAAAAATCAAAACCCTCATTGATATGAAACCGCGCTTTCAAAATGCTGTTTAATCAAAACAACTCTGAAACCGTATGCTAATGCTAGATCTATATGTACGCATTTCCTTTTTCATTCAAATACGTTTCTTCCTAACATTTCTTCAATTTCTATATCATTGCAGAAAAGTCTACGCAAAATGTCACCGCCATTTTTTATGCGACGACTCTACATTCCTGCCGGATTAATATCTGCTCCTACTTACATGTGTTGCCAACTCAATTATTGTCAACTTATCTTATTCAGTAACTTAACTTATCAGTTAGACCGACAGTTCGGAGATGATATGGATTAAATTACCATAGCATCTAAATCAGTTATAGGAAACTTAATTTTAAAATAAATTAAATTCTTGTGATCTTTATATTTACAGTTATATCTTGTATTGTTTGAAGAAGTTAGACCATGATCTAACGAAAGCTCACAAATATACTTACTATTTCGTTGAAAGAGATCATGTTATCTTTACTTATCACTTTAATACTATCTCGTTCAAGCATCCTTGTGGTGAGTACCACATACCGATCCGAAGTAGAAAATAAACAAGGAGAAAGGACCTGCAGTTCAATACACAATATCCAAGTTCCCTTAGTTATCTTACTCAGATATGGAAAATTGCAAATCAACAAACATCACAAATATATTGAATGTTGAACGTTCAACAATGGTAATGATACATCTTACTATCAATTTTAGACTTTATATGCCAATCACGCCAGTTATTGCTCGCTTAGTTGTGAGTTAGTTGTAGCCTTTTCGACGTAACAATCCCAGAAGAGATAATCGATTCGATGTCGCCTTCAACTCTGAATAAAACAAACATTCTATCTATTTACATACATGTCATCAATGAACTTATTGCGACGTCACTGTCCCTATGCTAGCGGGTTAGTGTCGTCTTAAAGGTGGGTTATCACGGAACATTTTTTTGGTTGAATTTTATTCTACAAATTTTTTTAGAATTTTCAACGCTTTCCGTTTACATAAAATCGACTTAATTTTCGAGATTCGAATTTTTAAAAACCGCATCAGCAAAAATCGACTCAAGTTCGGACGCGGCCTCTGATGACGTAGTAGTGAGAACTCATTCCAGATTTTGTAGTCACGTCGTATGCCAAGTACCGCGATTTACCGCTGGTTTCTATATTTAATTCCATTTCTTTTTCGCGAAGTTTGATTTATAGTTGAACAGTATTGCGGTATAGAACAGAAATGTACAGCTGTGGGATTCCCATGTAGTCAGGCGCCCAAGAGATGATGCTGTATGTTACAAACGCATCGCTGGTAGAGTACGGTACGGTAGGCTTTCATTTTCATAATTCAAATTGTTTCATGTGATATTTATCTAAGACTGTAAGACACAGTTTTTCAAATTGTTATTTATAGCAACTTCGTACAAGTTCACATTAATGGTTTTTAATCATAAAATCAAATACGTATAAAAAATTTGAAACAAAGATGAGTGGCAGCGAATATGAGAGCAGTAATGAGGAGGATGAGATGTATATTGCAGGTGGTGTGGGGGGGTTCATGTACGAACCTGAATATACTGCTGAAGAGCTTACTGCACTGGAAGTCAGTAGCACTGAAAAAGAGCTGCATCATGAACGTCTGGGCAATACAGATTGGTAAGTTGATAATTACAGTAGGCTGTAGCAAGTACATAAGGATAGTTACTGTGTATTTTAATATTTTCACCACTTATTGTTAGTAGTGCATGTTATTTGCCTGAAACAAGGTCGTTGTCCCAATTCATTTCCTTTATGATATATTTCTCTCACTCAGTGTAGCTTGTCTTTGCCGTTAATACATTATAATCCATAGTTACACAATGCACATTCGCTACAAGGCTACCGTACTACAATACGGTAAGTGTTGGTAGTCTTCTACTACAGTAGTAATGGTTTGATAAAAAGTCTAACATACAGAATCAGTTAAACATAACTTGAATAATCATATTCCAATAAAGCAGTACTGGTATTCCATTTTATCCATACATTTCTAGCGCACTTGTTTTTGCAGGTGTGTTTGTTCACACTGCTCTGAACAATCCAATCCAGCATCATGCATTTGTTGTCATGAAGCCCCAGCAGTCAAAAGAGTTTTGGAACGTTTGGCTACCCAGCATGGAATTGAGGTTCAATGCATTGTTGATCATCCTGGATTTGAACCAATATGCCTTAATGTTTTTGTTCTTGAAGCCACTTACCAAAGATCTGGGGCAAAATCAGTGCAGCTCCAAATGAGTAAGTTTATGTTACGTTTAAATATGTTTATCTGTCATTTCTTTCGATCTTATTGGTTGTATTTTTTCAGGCGTAACCGTTACACTTCCTACCGATCATTCGTGGAGTGGTGCTGGGGCAGGGTAGGAAGAAAGATAAGATTTCCACTCCCATCTTGTGTGGTTGTGAAGATAAGAGAACATTTTGAATCCCCCTCATACACAGGATTTCAACCACCTTCACCTTAGAAAGAGTTTTCTCAGCGAACTGCATGAAAAAGGGCCCTTTTTAGGGCCAACCCAATATTTATAACAAGAGGCGTTGAAACAATGGAGATTTCAGATAAAAAATTTATTGGCACAAAATAATTACCAGAAAATCAGAAGATGAAACAATTGATGAAAAATAAACCAAGAAGGGCGAACGGATAAATTGCATTTGATGAACTATGGGCTGTGGAGCCGAGGTTGACATGTTTTTTTGACCTTTGGATACGAATTTTAAACTTAAATAGCCTAATTTGCAGAGATTAGTCTCTCTTTTCATTTTAACTTCTTAATAGGGATAACAATTTACATTTGAATTTTCTAAAACTACAAAAGCTTGCATAAGCCAAATTTGATTTCCTGAAAAGTTAGAGCCGAAATTGCTTGCGTAAATTTTTTTCGGCTCCACAGCCCTAGTTGTCATTACTTAACTATTAAAACGGCTTTGAAGCTCCTGTATTGCGAGCTCCTTATCTGGCCTCTCACACCTGGAAGACAAGGTTGGTGGTGGTGATGATATCAGTGACAGATCACCCTGGCTTGTGGTTGAACTGCCATCAACCTCTGAAATAACTTTCTGAAGCAAGACTTTCACATATGCTGTGAAAAAGATAAGTGAATCACTTATACTTCTGTTTTTCAAGTCGAACCTTTTATATTTTACGGACTCACCATAACACGGCTCAGAGCGTACTCTTCGAACAGTGTGCTGTCCCATTTTCCCCCTAGGATACAGGATCTCATATTGCAGGCACCCATCCTTTGTTTTTGCCTGAGGTCTTCCACTATTAGCATTGTGGTGTAGAACCGCTGATAACATTCTAGAATAAACATACCCACCGTTAAAACTCGTTATTCTGTTTCAGATATTGGAATATTTATGGAACTCACCTGCAGAAAATTCCTTTGTAACCATACGACAGCATCTTGGGAGCAAAATGGTTCAATAGGGAGTGGAACCCTTCCAATCCAGATGTCTGATCTAATGGTGAGAGCTTTCGGATGTCTTTTTTGAACCTAAAGTTATCGAAAAGACTCTCCAATTCATCATACGCTCTCTGTCCTATTAAAAAAGTGAAATATAAGACAAACCGCAATCACCAAAAACTTTACAGTATTTTTACTGGATCGTGATCCATTAAAACTCTTGTATTATTTACTACCTGGAAAAATCCATTTCTTCCTTTTTTCCTCATCACCTAAAGGTGCATGTTGACATTCCATGTATAGGTTCCCATGTCCTGTGTGAACATTTCGGATGTGACGAAGTAGGCTCATGACTTTCTGCTCAACCATGTCACCATCGCCCCCCGAGCTACCCGCCGACCAGTACAAATGGTTAATAATACTCCGCCTCCACTCTTGCAGTATGCCACAATCAGTAAGTTTAGCCTTTGAGTCAATCTTTTTACCAAGACCTTCAAAAATTTGAAATGCAATATATAAGATTTTTGAAACATTAATTTTATGCCAACTGAGTCCAGAAATTTAAAATATGGCACTGATGAAATGAAAAAAAAATAACCTTTGGCAATGTGCCAAATGTCAAAAAAATGCTTCGTCCCAGATGGTTCCAGATTCTCACGAACCCATTTCGTCACAGATGGGTGTCTATCTGTTATCAGTTCGCCAATTCTTATTCCCTCTTCTAAAAGTGCATCTATACCTCTCTTTAAACCCTCCAACTCCATATGGTTACTGCTCGTAACTTCATTTTTCTAATAACGAATAGTAAACATTGATATGAAAACAGAAATTATGTTGATTTTGGATATACACTACAACTTACCTGAATAAGTTTCATATCAATTATTTCATTTGTTTTTAGGTCCATGATAGTGTAGCATCCAAATTTGGCAGAATGACCTGGGCTATCAGCCCTGCCATCACCACCTATAGTCAATGGCATGCCTCTCCTCTCCGCCAGCAATGCCGCTCTTTGTTCAACCCAGGATGCAATAATCACCGGCTGCAAGTATTTATCCTGGTGTCGTTGATATGTACTGAACAGGAAATGTCAAAGACTATAATTTTATGGACAGCAATAAATTAATTTGTCTAATTCAATATTTCACTGATAAATATTCCATTTTTGTTATGAATATGAAAAATACATATTACCTAACAAATTGTTTGTAATAAAAATGTACCTGTATGCGATGGTTCTTATGCCTGAGTTACAAAGCGATCGTAATACTTTTTTGGGACAACATCCTCCAAACAAAATGGAAGCAGACAAGAGGATGTTTCCCTCTGGTATACCACCAATGGAATCCTGGCTTTCCCAATGCCGATTATACCCACACTGGCAACAAATGGCTTGGATTACCACCATGGTTCCAACCACCCTTTCTACATCGACAGCACAAATTCCTGAGCACTTTTCACAACTAGCAAAGAGTTGCAAAAGCTTATGTCGGCTAACGATGTATTTTTCCTTTACAGTTTCGTACGACTCTCCTTCTCTAGAAATTAATTAAAAGTTAAATGAAAATGTCTATAAAATTTGCCTCCAAGGATTGATACTTACGCACTGCATGACTCATCTGAAACACTAATCAAGTCAGAGCTACTGTCTGTACTTGAGTCGTCATCCATTTCAGAAATCGAGTCGGAGTCGACAACCATGTTTTGCTCCTGTGATTTGAACAGCTGCAATGGAGGTGCAGCTATCAAATCACATTGCAAGCCGACTGATCTTGATTGGATGCTGGATTGGCATGCTGCAACAGATATTTAATAATTAGAAAGAAGCATCTCCACAATAATATATAACCTGAATATATGTCTAGTTCTGAACCTTTACTGTAATTTCCACGTCTCTGTAAAGTCTGAGTTTGCTTAGACTGCTGTGTAACTGTCTGAAATGACAACAGTTTAACAATTTATCTCTAAACTGTTTGACAAAATAAACTGCAATGAATGCTTTTGACTGACCATATTCTTATACCGCTCAACTGTTTTATTGCACACAGTATCTTCTGGATCATAATTTTGATAAATTGGTGTTTGCTGAAAAAAATTTAGAGGAATAACAATAGCCTGCTCTTATATTAGTTTTCTAACCTTCTGTCAGCTGCCTAAATGACAGAAAATAATACTGTACCTGTGATGACGAAGCTTCATCATGTGAAAAGCCACTGGCGATCTGAAAAAAAAAAACTGATAAATACGAATATATAAAAACTTGACCTGTCATTGAATAATTTCTTTCTACAAACCACCAATCCCTTCCTTTTCTGCACCACATATCTTTCTTTTTTCTTTTCTAAATCACTGCCTCTTTTAATGGAAGGCACTGCAACTTCACTTAAAACTCTCTGGCTGCCCTCATCACAATATTTCATTCTCTCAACATAACTTTCAGGACTGAAATGATCACTGCAGATTAATGGTCTTTTGTGTGTTTGAAACGAGAAATCTGACCGGGTTAGTTTCACAAATTTAACCCACAATTTTTTTCTTGCTTGATCTTTCGGAAAAATATGCAATGACACTCCATCTCTATGAGTGTTGGAGCAACCTCCAATTACACAACGGCTAGGCATTACTGATGCACGGTCAATACCGGTATATAACTTTGATTTACAATACTGCTGCTAGGTTTGTTGGTCAGTTGGCAGGTTGGTGTAACAGTGTTCAGGTGTTAGGTATGGTGCACTGGCAATGTAATAAAAAATTATTGGATTATAGATTTAGAAGAGAAAACAGAACCCGATACAGAGTGTAAAACATAAGTAATTCATATGCTGTCAATGCCGTACCCTAATACTGTAGGCCCTACCGGTAATAGTTCAGCAGAAATACCAAGTACGGTACGGTACCGGTACACGGTAGTCTAATTGACCGCAGTTCGCTGAGTTCACAGTCATTGCCAACACTGCATTGAAATTATTTTAAAATACTGGTATATGTTAAAACACACTGCCCCGTTATAAACTGCAATGCCCATTAGAACCGACACACCATCCAAAATAAAATTGCGAAGTACCAAAAATGCTTTTAACCTAATGCAAAACTCCGTTGACGAGTTCTCACTGCTACGTCATCACGGGGCCATACTAATTAGCGTTCGATTCCTGACGGGTCGACTTTTAAAAATTCGAATCTCGAAAATTGAGTCGATTTTATGTAAACGGAAAGCGTCAAAAATTCTAAAAAAATTTGTACAATAAAATTAAACCAGAAAAATGTTCCGTGATAACCCACCTTTAAAGCCGGAGCTTCATATCAAGATCAGGGCTTAGGCTAAGCCACATTATAATACATGTTTGTTGTGAGTATTTGAATGCGGTTTGCCCTGCGTCATTTATCAACAAAACGCATTCGCACAAAAGTTCAGTCTAGGGACGATGCGGGCAGTTGAAATGCATTAGCATTATAATATAATTGCGTTCGTAGCTATTCGTCTTGAAGATCACTCAAATTAAAGACTACTATTCCAAAATACCATAAATAAACTGCCAACCATAAATAAATTATTTTCGTATTTTCGCGTTCCTGAATTCTTCAAAAATTGATTTCTTCTTTCAGCACTTAAAATTACTTTAAGCAAAATATCCCCATTACAAAAGTATCGGCGTTCAAATCTCAATCAGTACATTTTACAAATGTTCAATCATTAGCCGATGAGTATATATCTGAAATGCCCTATTTCTTTAGCCCTGTTGTGTGCAATGTAACCTGCGGTTGCGTCTAATTACGAGAAAATATAATTAGTACTCAAAAACACCGCCTGGATCCCCGAACATGAAATGAAATCAATGTAATAAAGTCTAGTAAATGAAGCTCATGTAGACTACAACGCGAACAACGCTGTTATCCCAAGATATTAAAAGTACTGTTTTACTGCCCACAAAAAAACATACCTACCATCGGCGCCAGTAATTTGATTAATATATTTGTGCCTGTTCCGATTAATTCGCAATCATTACATACTTCATATATAGTCACATACCCAGAAAAGGTTGCATGCGGCTCCGTCGGCAGTTTTGGAATGAGTATAGAAATAGCTGATATATCACTCCCAACGCCCACTTTTCGTCCCTTAGACATTTTCAACCGCAATTTTGTTAGGATTTCGATTAATTTTCGCTATACGAGTATATGTTGCTACTGTGATGACCTCATATTCGTAATGTAAAAAATATTTCCTTGCTTACACATGCTATGACTTCCTACAATTTTTCCATTTAATAGCTGCTTCCGTCCGAAATAGCTAAAGGAGTTCAAAATCGCCAAATCAAATGAAAACATTTTTTGAGAATGACATACAATACAATTATTTTAATTATACTTTCAACCTTCATAAAACTCATTTTAAGATACACATAAAGATGCTTCGATCATGTGTATACTTAACTGATTTCAATCCAATTAAACAACATATTATTGAAATTTTCTGTTAAATTCAGAATTTATGTGCACACTAAAACTAATGTGTTTCTGCAAAGTTTCGTCTTACCGAGGGCGGAATCAAGAGAAGCGACAAATATATTCATCATGTATTAAATTAATAATACACACTAAAACTGCTTATTTTTACATTTCAACAATGCCTCAGATCTGCGTCGTGGCAATAAATTCTAGCCTACATTGACGGGTTCAAATCATCGCCCGCTTGAAATACTTATAGCACTTCGAAGACGTTATGATCGGACATATTATGCAATTGTTATCATGTATTTCCAGCATGTAAATCAAGCTCATTAACTGATTTCACCCCGAGTTTAGATAGTGATCGTTGGTGGATGGACATCTGTTTATTACGTTCACTTATTTAATAAAGCCGATGATCGCATTATAAGAGTGCGTTACTTTAAATTTACGCAAAGTTTCGCGAGCAAAATAAGAATTAGTTTGGAATCAAGAAAACTACTAATTGCAATTATACCAAATATGTCATTCATATTTACATTTCTTACAATTCGTATATTTATGGCTGACAGACTTGAGTGGATTTTTCAAATTATTTAAAGTTATTAAAAGCTTTGAGTACGGGTAAGCAAAACAAAATAAATTACACATGATAACACTCTAAAGGCCTAGCTCGACAGGAAATATTAACGATAACGTTATTGCACCCCAAACAAGAACGACGGAACACACATGAAAATCGAGATGTAAAATACATGCGCGACACGTTCACATAGCATGCAAAATAAACCCCGCGTAATTTGCTATAAAGCAGCTAACAACTATTGATCACAATACCCATAATTATTTCTCATCGCAGACGTAATAAAATGGTAAACAGTGTTTGAAACATAACAAACTAAAAAAACAATCCATTGCTTACAATGTATCATATACGTTTCTTCGTTGCAACTAAAATACATCGCTAGTGATGAAAATATCATGGCATAAGTATCTTGAGTACTGAGAAATGTGACGGAAACACATGGTATTACACTAGATTGGTTTCTTGAAAACGCCCACCCTAACAACGTTATAAGTGTTTACTACCATGAAATTACTATGATAGTAATACTGCAATAAAGTCCCACTGTTTCCTATCAGCACTGTCAACTTTACAATTCTATAGCTGAGATGTTTACTTTCGGAAGGGCGTATCGAAATCTCTATAATAAGTAACTGCTTTATTTTTAAAAGTATGGCGAGTGTCATGACACATTCGCTTGGTACAAATTTAGTTTTGAATTAACAACTTCCCAAAACTACAAGGTATTCACCCACACGTCCTCTTCTGCCAGACTCTTGTAAATACAGCTGCTAAAAAAAAGTTTAGAGTTCATTTTTGGTCAATATTTAGTAATATATATTACTATTTTCTGAAGGCTTGTCACGCATACGTTTAGGTACTCCAGAAGTATGTGCACCAAGGTGGCGGACACGGAAACGTCGTATGTGTACCAGGTTAGGGTTGGGCCATAATTTTGGGTAAAAATACCACGGGAATCACTTGGCTAGTCACCTAACTCATACTAAAACTAAAATAGGAAAAATTGAAATAAAATTATGGCCTATCCGTAACCTGGTACACATACGACGTTCCCGTGTCCGCAAACCTTGGTGCACATAGTGCCGGTGCGCCTAAGTTGAAACAAATATATAAAATAAATATTTTACGCTTAGATAAAATATAAAAATACATTTTAGAAAATTATAAAATTAACTTGACCCCTTTGGGGAGTTAATAAGCAAATTAGATTTGAAATAATCCGAGGCTACGTCCTAAATGATTTGTTTTTGATCAATATTCATTCAATATTAGTTATTACTAGCTTCTGAGGACTTGCCACGCATAAGTTTATTACAGTTGAGTAAAATACAAAAATACCTTTCAGAAAATTATAAATAAAACCTGACCTTTGCGTAAAGTTAATATACAAATTAGCTTCAAAATTTTAAATTAGCTCTCTGCTACGCCTGAGATGATTCATTTTTGGTCAATATTTAGTAGTATACATTACTATTTTCTGAAGACTTGCCACGCATAGGTTTATTACAGGTGGATATAGTACAAAAATACCTTTCAGAAAATTATAAAATGAACTTGATCTCTTTGAAAACCTTCTGAACTTGACCTTCTGGAAGGTATTTTCGTATTTTTTTAAACTTTATCAAACTATTGCGTGGCAAGTGTCTAGAAAATAATATTTTTTCCTTGTGAAATTCGGGAGCACGGAATGAAATATTGTTGGGTAATTTGGGAAAAAAATTCTACAATCCGCTATTATTATCTTTGAGTTGAATTCAATATGAATTCTATGTTGACCTTGTTTCGAGTATATTTTTTCATTCACTTTAAGGTAATGCACAATTTTAAAAATAGTTAATATCGTCAATCTCAATCGGAAATCCAAGTTCTTGTTCGAGGTTATTTAGCGACATCCAGTGTTTTCGGATATTTTGCGGGTCCTCAGGTCTTCTGATGGTGCAGAAAGTTACTCTAGCCCACAATTTCAGTTTCTAACTTTAAAGGTCTTTGTTCAGTTCAGGTATTTTTGTATCGGAAATTCTCTTTTAAAACTTTGCTTCAGATTAACTAAAAATAGGTACGAGGTTATCGCGTTAATAATTAGAGCATGTTGATACAGTGGCATTTTGTTGTAGGGCATGGTTACTCTAGCCCACAATTTTGGTTCTCCTAGACCATAGGTTCTCAAAGTGCTCCGTACGGAGCCCCAGGGCTCCGCGAGAGAAACCCAGGGGCTCCGCAAGCTATTCGATTACTTTTCAAAATACTGACTAATTTTGTAATTGTTCAAAGAAGCAATAACAGCTTTGATATAATCTAACAACAATATAGCCTCGAAATATGGCAAAGAGACGGAGTAAAAAAATGACATTATCTGTAAGCAGGAGCACAGCCAGGATTCTTGAGAGGGAGGTGGTTCAATTTCCGCGCAACATTCGCGATTAAAAAACGGTTGACGAGATTTCTGTTGCGTAAAATATTCAATCCATGACCGATGCGAGCATTTAAAGTGTCTCGTTGTTATAATGTAATTGTGCTCATCTTTACTCACCTTTGATTTGAGATTACTATTAGGATTACTAAAATGAAAGAATACCATTCTAATAACATAAAATATGTGATAAACTGCCAACTATAAATAAATTGAAGTCGTATATTTGCGATCCTGGGATTTGTCAAACTTGATTTGTTCTTCCGCACTTGAGATTATTATTAAGCAAGATATCGCCGTTTAAAAAATCACAATGTCTGGGCAAAATACGAACAATTAAAATTTATTTTATTGCACACGGCTACGTCGATAGTTTCAGAATGAAAAAAGGTACATCGCGGATCGCGCGCACAATTGATTGCGTGCGGCTCCGTCGGCAGTTTCAAAATGGGTAAAAAAGGTACATCGCACGCACAATTGACGCACGCACAATTGACGATTTCGCAGTTACTACGATGAAAATCTAACATAACAGCAAATTTTGTGATTTACTATGTCTATAAAAGCGTTCTCAATCTGAGGTGAGTCTGCTGAAACCAAACGTGTGAACTTTCATTTTAGGTTTTAATAATTTGGAATGCCGCTTT